GCCACTTAGGCTCATAGGCCGGGCGGTCTGGGGCAGCTTGATTTACCTGAGACCCCCCAGCTGAAGGAGACCGGCATTTGCGTCCTTGTCCATTCAGAGCCGAGACCATCACTTTCCCCTGTAATGGAGAACATTGACCTCTGTTGTATAAGCGGCCATCTTAACTGGCAAGCTTTTAGTCTCTGTTAAGTGCTTTGGTGCAGAAAGGGACCTTGTATAAAAATGAACAGGGATGTGTTTCCCGAAAACGAACAATCTTAGCAAATAATGAATGTAATAATGAACGACGCAGGTAAGGAACGAATGGGATTTGCGTGTTTCCCAAAACCGTTTGTTGTTTGAGATTTAATGAACAGACTTAAAGTAGTTCTTTGTTGGCTCCCCCCGCGTGAGAAAAACGCAGATGGTCGATAACAGGAACAAAAAACATTACAAATCTATAAAAACACATGAAAGCACACAGAATTAAGACCAAAATTAATTAATATACTAGATGAAATTATATAAAATGGGCTGAGAATGTGATGTTGCTTCCTTGTAAAATAAGAACAATGGCTCTCAGAAGAAGAGTTGAAACATATGGAGGAGGTGGCCAAAAATACATTTTAATAAAACAATTACTGCAATGTTGTACAGCACAGCGCACAGAAGAATAACAGCACTGCAGCATTCAGGGGAAAATCTTAGAGCCCCTGAGGACTTGTGCAGCCCCTTCCACATGCCCAGAGCAGTGTGTCTCTTTGGTGTGCGGCGTTATTCCTCTCCTCAGCCACGGTTTGGGGATTCAACACTGGAGTCAGCAGGTATTTGCTAAGAGGATGCCTGCTGTCTCCCAGTAACCAGGCAGGCACCAGCGAATACACCATCCTTCGCCATCTGACACACTCCAAAGCTGGACCAGATATAATCATCACGTGTGCCCCCAGGCCACTTGGCGACAATGTCTGTAAAATGTCCTTGATGGCTGCATATCACCTGGACATTTACGCCTAGTGCCAAGAACCCTTTTCGACAGGTGCAGGTGGGATTCAAGGGGCTGCAGATATGCATGGGGTTGAGGGTTTCATCCACTGCACGTACAATTCCAGGTGTGCCCACAATGGCATGAAAACCAATTTAAGTGTAATACAAGGCATCCCCTCCCGCTGGATATTGTATGTAATTGTGCGCACGGTGCAACAGAAATGTGATCAGTGCATGCAGAGATGCAGGACACAGGCCCTGTGCATCTGTATATCTGCAGGAATCCACCAGTGGCGTAGGAGCAGAGAGCTGTCAGAAGCTGCACGGTGCACTGAGGGCAAAATTCCGGTGTCTTCCTTTTCAATTTATCCTGCACCAGACCAAGGAGGTTCGTTATTTCGCCCCAAGCCAGCCTGTATTTCTTTGTTAGTGGTTTATTACTGAGATGCCCGATGGACATTTAATGTTTTTGCATACTTAACTGTTTATGTGTGTTAGCTTTTGTGAGGAGTCTGCAGTAGATTTTCTAGTGAGTGTCCGTGGGTTGTCAGATGGATAGAGTTGTAAATAGGTTACTCGTATGACTGTGTGAAGGACTCTTCCACATGATACACAAAATGACAGTTCATAGACACTTCAAATGTTTCATTGTGAATAACAACATTGACCAAATAGTATTATTATTGTTGCTCAATAAAGAAGAATATAGAAAATATCATGTGGGTTGGATCACTTATTCATATATGAATGAAATTTCAAACTACTTTAGTCGCAAAGGATTTCGAGAAATACTAACTAATTAACGAATGATCTTATGTACAAGATAACAAAGTACTTAGTATTACAAAGCTTTCAGGAAATGCACCCCAGGTCAATTAATTCATTTTCCCTAAAAGAAATAGCCCCAAAATCATTATACAGGATTGCGTCAATTAACATTTTTCCAGATCAGTAATATTGGGTAGTGGACCTTTGGCAAAATCCATGCAGAGCCATACAATATGGAAACATTAATACTGACAAAACCCATGTTTCTATATTGATTTTAAACTTATCAGGTCCTTAATTATTTAGACTTCAGTATATCACATCTAAAAATAAGATTCTCTCTTTCAGCTCTTGTGTAAAAAGAAGTTGTAGGGCTAAATAAATTTACAGAAACTGCCTGTGTCTAAGGTCACATACAGCCCGGATGAGTGGGAACAGCAGCCAGACTGAAGACTGACATCCAGACAGGACAGAACGCAGCAAACAAAGCAAGGTGACAAATCTGAATGGCGCTGGGCTTTCAACGGCTATGTCTGTGAGGGATGAGAGAGATGCTCACTGGACCCCAAGCCCCGAGCGGTCCGGCGCTGTCGGCTACACGGGCCGAGGGAGAAGGCTCTGATGAAGGTCAGCCACGATGATTAAAATCAGACCGCCGTGCTTTCGTTATGACCCGGGGGAACGCCGGTCCAATCCGCGCCAAGCGACAAAGGAAATTGTATTACCAGCCAACGCCAGTGCTGAGGGACCGGGACGGCAGCCGATGCTGGCCTGGAGCGAGACACCTTCAGTAGAACAATCTGGAGGAGGCCACGAGGGGGGAGGGGCCAGCACTGACTACTGGTCAATCTGCAGCGTCGTTATTAATGCCCCCGATATGAACAGAAATTAACTTCCCCCCGGGGTGAGAAAAGGACTCGGGTTGATCGTAATTATCACCCAAAGCAGTGCTCAGAGGGGCCTCCGCGCAGATAATGAGCGGCTAGATTATACCTCACACCGAACTGAAGACTGCTGTGCACATGGGACCCCCCCCCCCCATTCCAGACGTCAGGATTCACTCTGCCCTGTAATGAATTCATTCTTTTTCTTTTTTTCGCAAATTCTGGCCCTCGCATCAAAATGAGGAGCTTTGAGGGAGTGGCATCGATGCCACCAACAAACACATGAAGAGACATAAGCACTACAAAGGAAAACATCAACAAACAAAATAATGACAGCTCATTTCCTGTCAGTTTGTTTTCCTCACACTTCGCCTGGGGCTGCTTCTCGTTCGTGTGTTATTTGTCATTTGCTTTCCTGAATGCTTCACCTGGGTCACTTCTCGTTCGTTTGTTTTCCCCACATTTCAGCCAGGCCACTTCTCGTTCGTTTGTTTTCCCCACATTTCAGCCAGGCCACTTCTCGTTCGTTNCACTTCTCGTTCGTTTGTTTTCCCCACATTTCAGCCAGGCCACTTCTCGTTCGTTTGTTTTCCCCACATTTCAGCCAGGCCACTTCTCGTTCGTTTGTTTTCCCAAATGCTTCGCCTGGGCTGCTTTTCACTTCTTTGTTTTCCCGATCGCTTCACCCAGGCTGTGGGGTCTGTGGATCGTCCCTGTGTCCATCTGATTAATTAAAATCCATGTTTGGATATAAAATAACATCAGGTGGCCTTTCGCAGGTGTGGATAATTTGTCGATTGGGCCACTTTACAGTCCAAGGCTCATTTTTATCAGCAGAAGCCAGGCGATGCTGTTTTCTGTACAGACGCTGACTTTCATTAATCTGCCGAGTTCTGGAACACAGGAAAAGCCACACTGGGTGTGACCGTCCATCCCCAGACTGACCTGTTTCCAGTTATGTTCATCAGAAGGAAAATATCATTTATGCATTGTAAAATTCAATAAAACATACGTAGAAAATTACATCTGGGGAGTAGTCAAACTGTCGGTTTTTGCTGAAAAGGCGAAGTGTTTCTCTCTTTATTGAGAAGATTTTCTTTATTTGGTAAATGGTTTCAGCTTAAGCTACTAAAATTCAAAATTTAAATTTAGATGCTGATCCAGAGGAAGCTCTTCTTTTTCTTTACCACAATCCTAGTTTCTGCTTTATTTTGTGAGAAATTAGCTTTTTATTCAAAGACTCGCAGAAAGCCCGCAGATTCCTGCAGAGTCCTTGTGAAACCTCCTTTTAGCTGCACTCCAGCTATCTCAGGACACTTTGAAATGAGATTACTAGCAGATATCGGTTCCTTCTCCTGACCTCCACACACCCTGGGCAAAAATTTCATCTTATTTCTCATGTGACCTGCGTTGCCTAATTTAGATTTTTTTTTTTTTTTTTAAATAATATGAATTTCTCCAGCAGCAATTGAAAAAAATCTGGCAACAAAGACCCTGCACGATGGTATCCAATGTTCCTACAAAAGATATAGTTTAGACATGTAAAAATATTCTGAAGGGAATGAAAATTTGACATAATTAATCCTTAAATTTTAATAAATAAAAAAAAAGAAAATTGAGGTAGTGAGTTATTCAAAGTGATCTGTCAGTGACTTAGCGAGTGAGTTAGTTTATAACTGTACCTATTTGACAACACCTTAAATAAACTGATTTAAACACGTTGCCTTCCAAGGCGCTTAGGGGTGATATTTTAAAGACAATAGCGCGTTTAGCTGACAGTGAAATGTGCGTGTGACCTTTCCACGCAACTCGCAAAGCACATCCTCCCTGCTTTTCCAGCACCTCGGTTGACCCTGAATAATACGCCGCCTTGAGCGATGGGAGTCTAATGAGGCCTGTTAAACTGCTGGGTGGCGAACTGCTCTGGGGGGGGCGGGGTTTGCGTATTTCGCCTTTTCGGCAAGGCGGCTGGTCAGAAATCAGAGAAAATGCCGGTGTCTCGCTGTCAAAAAAATAAATAAAAATCCACGGACAGTATTAGGACGATATCTTACTGCCACCGTTGTACTGAGTGCAGTGATTTGTTTAGCTCCATCATAGCTCCTGGCAACAGTTATGTTAATTGCCCTGTGCAAAAGTATTTAATTCCTCAGAGAATTAGGACTAATTACGCGTAATGCCATTAAACGGAAGCACGTACATCTGTTAGAAATGGTTATTCATTGTGTGTGGTCAGCAGCCAAGCGTAAATACATAACTGTGCGCTGAGGACATTGTGAAATCATTCTCCCGCCATTTATCCCTGTGAGATTCTGTTTAATAAATATGGATATTAGCATTAGCCCCGCACATACATTTTAAGCCATGCTGGTCATTTCCATAAAGATTAGTGAGGTGACACAGGCGGAGAGGGGTCTCCCTTCAGGCACTGGGCAGAAATGCCCCTACACACATGGCAGCAGGGTGATTTAATCTGGCCGCTCTTGAGCCCCAGGACCCGACACCGTGGCGCCTCAGCCAGACTCCGGGACCTGCAATTACGCCAAACTGCAGTCCTGCATGTTAATCAGCTTTTGCCCATCGGCTCTGTCCACTGGCTGATTATTATTGCAGTCGATGAGCAGTACTACCAGCTACTATGTATTTTCTCCCCCATAAGCTGTCGACATAACTGCCTCCCACAAAAGCTCGTGGCCCGTACTTCTGACAGGCGGGTGGCTCGCCGCGAGATTCCTGTCCTGAGCGCTTAAAGATGCCACGGATCCTTATTTTCTCAGGAAGCGCTGAGTGCTTCTCCATGATCGAGAAGTATTTTATACCTGCACGCTGGTGGCAGGGTGACACCTTCCACAGCGAGGTGGTAATTTCCAGGCCTGGGGCATTCAGTCAGAAAAAAAACGAATACGAATCAGAAACAGGCTAAATGAATTCAGCCTTTAATAGATGAACATTTGCTAAAAAAAGCAGCGCACATGAGCGATTCTGACAAGTGCATCCCATACACTAATGTGCTTATTAACCCGCAACAATCATAAAAGGGACACTCTTAACCATCTTGAGCACATTTAGCAGATGTTGCTTCTTAATTGCTGGTCTTACTTACCCGGCCTGGGGACTGTTTCCTTAGCAGAGCAGGCCTGGAAGTTCAGTGGTACCTAGCTGCAGCCAGAATGTTAACGGCACCACTGAGGCCGTTTGGGTGATGTGGGCAGGATTGGTGGCCCATTATGACATCGCCGCTGCTGTCTGCATACTAAACGGAACCAAGAAAAACTCACTATGGACACAGAAATGGTGTCACTTGCTTTTATTTTTTATGAAAAAATATAAAATTTCATATCTTACACTACAAAAACATGAACACAACCCAAATACACACACAGTTCCAGGAGGCCGACGAACGAACACCATTGGTATGACTTCTCAAAGCTCTTCTATAACTGCATGAAGGTCAGGAGGTCCAGACTCCACAGGAGACTGTTTGCAGGGGCTGAGCTTTGGACGTCTGGACAGTGGCACTCTCGTCCCGCTATCAACCAAAGGAGGATCAAAGATTCATCCTTCTGAACGGCGCCGGTTCCTGCTCTGAATCCTATCACTGCTCGTGAACCAGAAAAACACAAAGCCATCTGCACTCACACCAACCTTTGTTAGCTTCTTTCAGTGACTAGCTCTTTCAGAATGACCGGTGTACAATTAGCTTCGCAAAAAGTGTTTCACAAGCATAAATGTGACAAAATCTAAGCAGAAGAGATCTCAGTTTCTGATTTGGCATCAGCAAAATCTATATATTTTTATCAAATCTGAGTTAACTGGCGGCCCCAGCAGAGCAGTATTCACTAAACCGAAGCCTCAGTTCCTGGTTGGTCGCTGGGTTGATGTACATCCACAAGCCAAACAAAAATTAATAACAAAAGTGCAATAAAAACATGAGATGGATCTAGTCTGTCCATCCAACCAATGGCATTCATGTGCTGCACATCAGGAACATTCTATCAATCCATGATCCCAACTACTATTGTGAACATAAGCAGGTCAGAATGAGACATGTAGCTATTAACAATGGAATATCCATGGAAATCCAGGGGAATTAGCAATTAGCAAAGCCTTACAGTCAGACCTGTTAAGTTTGTTGTTACCTCAAAGAGCACATTGTAACAAATGACTTGCCTTAATTTATTGGCGTTCAATTGGGCATGTTCAATATAGCATCTGTGAAAGCGTTATTTAGCGAATGACAGAAAGAAAAACTAGATTTAAAAAATGCATTAGCCAGGTTCAGCCAACCAATTCACAGTCTATGCGGGAACAAAATCTGTCAGCTTATCATTTAGTGTCAATAGGATCAAGGAGGACTTGTGTATAAAGTGCGACTTAAATATGTTACGTAATCAGTAAACTCGCAGTGCTTTCCATAGCCCAGGTTAGTCCGGGCATTGTGTTAGGGGGCACTGGGGGATAAAAGTATAATCAAGTTGTCTCATGATCGAAGAGCAGATGATGAAGAGGAGCAGAGGCACCTCAGCTTGTCTACTCTGGGTGGTCATGGAGACACATGCAACCCTGGCCAAAAAGAAGGAGGCACTTAAAATGTGGGATAACGGTAAGGAGGAGGAGGAGAGATGTGGACAAGAAGACATGGAATACAGGGAAGAGACGGAGTAGGACAGGTTTATCAGCTGTGACCACCGATTTGACTCACTGGAGTCACAGACATTACAAGGGTTGTTTGGGAAATTTACAACCACCAAATTGTGCAAGACAGTAATCACTCTGTCTCAATAATAATCAGTATCCTATACTACCATCAAAACATCTCAACTTCTGTCTGAGAGACACTAGAGGCCTTTCTGTCTAATCAGTTGTGGAAATTTGTCTGTTCCCAACCTTGACTAACATTTTTACAAGGGATCCTTCACTTTGACTACAAAAGACTTTTATATTAATGTAAATACCAAAGCACCCCTATTACCTTACGCTTAAATACCACTCCTGGTATGAAAAGACTGACTTTGTCTTCATTAACTTTAAGCTATTTAAGAAATGGCTGCAGTCAACATAGGAAATGATCTGGGTATTATGGATGGAAAATACATCTCTGAGTGGTGATTCATCAGCCATACTGTGTAACCACAACCCGCTAAGTAACGCTTACACCAAGTGGTCACTTAACCTTTATCAACTGCTAACAGCATAGTTAAGCACCATTCACCTCACCCAACCCGAGATGCCGTAGTACAGTTTCTCATGCAGAACGGTCTTACCTAGTACTCTTAATCAAGTATATGTGCAAACACACTCATTAAAAGCAATAAATTAATTCCTGATATACAAAACAATCACTGTCCATATATAGAGAGAGTCTAACGTATCTCACAGACACACACGGCCCCAATAAACCCTTCAGAAACGGGATGAACCACTGCATGGGCTGTGCGAAGGGGTCCCCTTTGCTCTCGCCAACCCCAGCCCGTCCCATTTTCATTACACATTTAAATCATAGAGCCAGTCAGTCTTTGAACAAAAAGAGGACATGTCTATTTTACCTGCCTGTTTGTAAAAAGCAAATAAATTAAAAAAAAACTTCAAATATACAATATATAATCAACAATTACACTACTTTTATAAATAATCAGTAAAGCTTTAATAATAAATACTGAACCTATTTAGAAGCAGAGTATCCACTCCAATTTACACGCCGTTCACACAAAGAGATGAAAGCAGGCAATCTTGGCCCTGGTGCCAGTGACCTGGTGCACTGGGTGTCCCTGGGGTTTGTCCCGGCTGTGCTCTTTACTATCTGCCTTCCCTGACAGGACTGAGGGGAGAGCGGCCTGCCTGCGGTCTGCCTGCGGCCTGCTGTTTTGGCTGTGCTTAGCTCCCAGGATGCAGGTCAGGGCTTTACTTTAAAGCTAACTTGGCGCTAGCTACACCATCAAAGGAAAATCGCATTCAGCGCACTAATACACATGTCTACGTTTCAAAGATTAATCATTAGCTGGAATTAAAAACACTGCTGGCTATTAGCATTTTATGGGTCACGTTCTGAAAAGGATTCGCCATCGTGATCCTAAATTCCTAGCGCTATTACAAACAAACTTTAAAAAGTTCAAACGATTCCAGCAGCCACTCTCCGTGGGTTTGGTTTAACAGTAAGCTGCACGTTTGATCAGCAAAGGCAAATTTAAGAATGGACAAAGAACAGAAACACCCATTTAGTCTCCAGGTCTGGCCTAAACACCAAGGGCCGCATTAGTACCTCCTTCTCTAAGCCGCTCTGCATGCCCTCCTGCTCTCACACGTCTATATCTCAGTGTACAAAGTAGCAACCTCTTCAAAAATGAGGTCCTGAAGTTTGTACCAAATTTTACATTATTTACACCTCGATGTACCTTAAAGACTAATAGCAAATCTACGTTTTTTATGGATTTTTCTTTAATACACGAATATGGCAACTATCTCCCTGTCTGTGATGAAAAAGAAACAGGCTTTACATTACATATTGCTTTCTGATACTCGGGTTTCACTGTAACGTGTGATTGCAGAACACCTTCCTGTGAAAGTCTGACTTCCCGTGCTCTTTAGAGGACGGATCCGGGCTCTCTGGGTTCAGGAGGTCTGTGTGGGCCGTGCTCTCTGGGCCCGGAGGCTAGTCAGCTGCTCTCGGGAATTCGGGGACTTGCCGGGCCATTCCGAGCGGCCGCTGTTCTGGAGTTATCCCTGCGCATGCTGACGACTCTGACGAATGACCGAAAACAATTTTTTTGTCTACGTTTAAAAATTTTCGAACATTCCCAGGAAAATAGTGCAGATTGGGGTGCAGGAGAGGCGGTGGGGGCCCCAGCCCTGGCTCAGAACGTCACGCTGCCGTTCATCAGCTGCACGCGCATCTCCTGGATGCTGCTGGCGATCTTCTTCTGGTGTCCGGCGAGACTGACGCCCACCCTCCGCAGATCACTGGCAAACAACAGACGGATAAAAAGGCAATTCAACTCAGCCGACAGCGATTCGGTATCTTTGACAGGGAGTGCGCAGACGGTGTTTCGGCCGGACGACTCACTCCAGAGTCATCTGAGCCACCAGCTCCATGGTGGTGTAGCCACTCTCCATGAAGGTCTCCACGTAGCGGCCCATCTTCATGCCCTCCAGCCAATCCTCCACCGACTGGAAGACGGGGCCGTCCAGGGACCTCGGTTCCACCAGCAAATTGGACTCCCTGCGGGGAGAGACCCGGTGAGCGGGCCGGCGGGGGCAGGCATGTCACTCACGCCGCGGGGAGGCTGCCGTGCTGCGCTGGGGCGCAGGTGCGCGAGCGCATGCACTCTGCGTGCATGCTGGCCCAGTGCTGCATCAGCTTTCTGCCCAAGTTTTGGCTGACAAACCCTTCAGACAGCTACTGTTAAACATTATACGATATCAAATAAACCTTCACTGTGGAAAACTGGCTCTCAGGAAAGGCGAGTAAACAGTGATATAAAGATGGAGACGAGGAAGACTTGCAGAATTGATGAGAATATGTAACGATACGGATCACCATCTTTTCTTTTGTTGCACATGTTCAGTGTATGCACCTGCAGGGACGGCTTTGACACGTTTATCATGGGACGTGATGTCACTGGGGGGGGGACCAGGCAATGGGGGGAACCCAACTGGACCCAGCACCCACCTGTCTGAGGAGTTGACGAGGGTCTTTAGAGAGATGGGGTTCCGGATCAGCTTGTCCAGGAGGCTGACGATCTCGTCAAACTTGGGCCTGCTGTTGCGCTCCTTCTGCCAGCAGTCCATCATGAGCTGGTAGAGCACAGCCGGGCAGTCCATGGGGCCCGGCAGCCGGTAGTTCTCCTCCACCGCCTTGATCACCTGGGCCAGGGAGGGTGGGGGCAGACCGCCGCAAGATTGTTACCACGCTGTGTGCCCAGTCCTAGTTGTCATGACAACGGCTCCCGTCCCACAGCCCGGCCCACAGGGGACCTGCCCATTACTGAGTTTACGGAGTTATGCCCCAGGTCCAGCTGCCTGCTTTATTTTGGGAGTCTGATTTCTCTGCTCTTATCTCATCTTGTGTCATATCTCAGGGAGATGCTGGACTCGTTCTTCAGAAAAATATTCAAATCAAGGACGGCCGGCCCCGTTTGTGAGATCCGGCCAAACCTGGGGCAGCAGCACCCTGGGTGCAGGTCAGCTGACCCGCCCCACTCCCCATGGCCGTGCGGACGCCCCCCCCCCAAACAGAATGCGGGCGTGAGTGCTCAGCACCGCCAGCCGCTGCACCCCACCCCCCACCCCGCAGCCAGAGAGGATCAGAGGAACTGGCACAGCAGTCCTAAATAAAACATCACACGCCCCCTCCCTCCCCCCCCGGCGCGCCGTAGAGGATTAATGATGTAGCGGAATTAATGATCAGACGCTGGGATGAAGCCATCACACTCAGGCGAGGGGGTGCGGGTACGGTCTGAAACAGACGTGACTGCAGATTGCACCTCCTTCAGGGAGACGCCCCCGCAAAGCCCGAGACCAGCCCCCGCCCTCGTCCGCGACAGGAGATGACGGCCCGCTTCACTGTCGAGCCCCCAGAGCCAGTGTCACCCTCCTCCGGAGGTAAATAAAACAATCTGCGCAGAGGCGGGAGAAGAATCCCTATGAGGTGCTCGAGACATAAAGAGGCGCGAGTCCACGATGCCGGTCGCCATGGCTCCCGTGACTCAGGCACTAAACCTGAACCGCCCCAGCTGTATAAACAGGTCAGAGTTGAAGTCCCTCTGGTTAAGAGGGTAAACTAACTGTCCCCAGAAAATATGCCTTTTAACTTACTGGAGACGGGAGGAAAACAGGAGAGAATTGCCACCGTGATTGTTCCTCATTAACGTGCTTGATATAAAGTGCAAGGGTCAAGGGAGACATCAGACACTCATTTTAGGGGTCTCTGTGCCTCCCCAAAGCCCCTGTCTGTCCGTGTGCCTGGCCTTTATCTCACTGAGTATTACCACACCCTGCTCGCCAAACGTCGCGAAAGGCTAAGAAGGCTAATGGTGTGCTATATGAGGCTCTCAAACTGCACAGGCAAATGGTGTGAGGCTCTAATACTGCACAGACCAGCTGTGTGAGGCTCTCATACTGCACAGGCCAGCTGTGTGAGGCTCTCATACTGCACAGGCAGGCTGTGTGAGGCTCTCATACTGCACAGGCAGGCTGTGTGAGGCTCTCATACTGCACAGACAAGCTGTGTGAGGCTCTCATACTGCACAGGCAGGCTGTGTGAGGGTCTCATACTGCATAGGCCAGTTGTGTGAGGGTCTCATACTGCACAGGCCAGCTGTGTGAGGCTCTCGTACTGCACAGGCAGGCTGTGTGAGGGTCTCATACTGCATAGGCCAGTTGTGTGAGGCTCTCATACTGCACAGACCAGTTGTGTGAGGCTCTCATACTGCACAGGCCAGTTGTGCGAGGCTGTCAAATTAAACGCCTAAGCTATGTGTGGATTTTATACACCATTTATGTGCTGTACACATGGACCTCAGCACCAGGCGCATAAGTCTCTCTGCCTGAACCCATGATGGAGGTGAGTATGGGGCGTACGTACGTCCTGGTTGCTCATCTCCCAGTAGGGCCTCTCGCCATACGACATCACCTCCCACATGACGATGCCGTAGCTCCACACATCGCTGGCCGACGTGAACTTGCGGAAGGTGATGGCCTCGGGGGCCGTCCAGCGGATGGGGATTTTCCCCCCCTGAAACAAAACAGACACGTGTGAAAAGTTTGATCGCTAGCGATGTACAGTGAGATTCGCTCCTCAGACAGCCCCGCCCCTAGGCAGTTACCCCCCCCCCCCCCCCACGGAAGACAGAGGAAACATGGGGAGCGGGGGAAGGAGCCCGGTTCAGACCAGAGTGGCTAATTGGGCTTCCTGGAGGTTCTGCTTTTACATCCCTGACAGGAGTCCGCCAGGCCTCTTCCAGGCTGTCTTTAAGAAGGAAGTGGGAAGGGGGGGGAATCACAGGAGTGGCTTCAAATTGGGGAGGGGGGGTTACTGACAGAAAGTATACCTGAGACAACGGAAGGATTTAATTATCCTGCCTTCAGCGACAGGCTGCTTCATATTTCTCAAACACATCAGTACGCAGAAACCCGGGACGGTCCATCAGGACCGGCCTCTGCTGCCTACCCTGGTGGTGTAGGCGGCCTCCGGATCGTCCTCCAGAACCCGGGACAGGCCGAAATCGGACACCTTGCACACCAGGTTGCTGTTGACCAGGATGTTGCGGGCGGCCAGGTCGCGGTGCACAAAGCCCGTGTCGGAGAGGTAGCGCATGCCTGACGCGATGCCCCTCAGCATCCCCACCAGCTGGATCACCGTGAACTGCCCGTCGTTCTTCTGTGGGCGGGACAAACGGGGCTCGTCCAATTAGGCGGCAGTTTGTTGGGAGGCTCGTTATCCTCTGGGCTGCACAGACTGCCTGACGGTGCTCGTCACCACCACTCACAGTTTACATTCTGGTGTGATTCTTGGACCTCATCTAAGACGGAACTATGTCTGACATGCACTTCACCTCACAGTCAATGCATCACCAAATTAACCCCGCTGCCAGGCAAGACGTCTCAGGAAACACTTTTTTGTTAACAAAAAGTAAATATTTTTTTAATTATGCATCCGAAAACTGCTGTCAACGCAAAAAACCAACAGCACAGGAACACATTGCAGTGACTCGCACAATATAATTAAGATTTCAGTTTAATGTAAGTCTAAGCAGAAAACCTTGTCTTTAAGTTGTAATCTTGTTTTTGTTCAACATGATTTCATTTTTATGCAAATGTGATGCAAAGGCAAGCTCATCTGCCTTTCCTCTCAGCTCTGCTGTACTGGCTAATTCACGCTGACACTGTGAGAGTCAGTAATGGCAGCAAGCGGAGAGCTCTAATTTGTACAGTACAACCTCTGAACTGCTGTCATCACAAAGGCTGCCCTTTTGGGGCGGGAGGCAGTACAGTAAATAAAAAATGGAGGGAAAGGTACTGTACGCCCTTGACCGTCCGCCTAACCTGGATCGCACCACTGAAGCAAATCCATAAATCTGTAAATAAACGTGCAGCACTGTGGACCAGTGGCCAAATGCAGATATTTCCAGTCAGGTTTAAGAAAGAGAGTGCAGCAATCAGCGCATAATCAACAGCAATAATGAGAGATGGAACACGCACAGACCTCAGCGACACCCCCGTGAAAAGACATGCTCACACACACCCCCCAACAGATAAAGCATGAGCCCCGAAGGGACATATAGAGAGGTGTACCTTCAGAAAGGTGTCCAGCGACCCGTTCTCCATATACTCCGTGATGATCATCACAGGTTTACCTGAGCGAGGGAGATGCGGGCAGGAATTAGCTCCTAGCGCATTGTCTGCTTTTCCCGGGTGCCACTCGACACGCGGCGATCTGTCACACGGCGATCTGTCACACGGCGATCTGTCACACACAGCCGCGCTCTCACCTTTCTGCCGTAATTAGCGCCTGCGACCACGAGCGAATTTCATGCCAGTTACACACCGACAGAAGGGTTTTCATACTTAATTTTCCACTGGCTTGCTGGTGTGCCACAAGATTAATTAACAGAGAAACCTCCAAAGATGTGTCCTTTTTATTTCGATGTTAATGCTCTAAAGAACTGCATAATTGTATTACAAATCAATAGCGGTGTTTTGTACAGAGATAATGGAAAGTGGCGGCAATGTTGACAGAGAGGTGGCATCATGCATTAAGGCTGTTAGTTTCACATCGGAGAGAGTAAATCAAATTACTGAACATCAGAGGAGGAAAAAAATTAAAATTAAAATCATCCTATGGAATATAAGAGAGTGCAGAGTTTGGATACAGGTATGCGTTGATTAACAACCACATATGGTTCTGACTAGGCAGTTGTTAGGGGATTTGATCATTAGGCAAACCCATATATATTACTGTAAATACAAACTGTACAGATCCAGGATAGACTGTATATACATACAGCAGACATAGAACTGTACGTATCTCATATTGTAATACAACAGTAATAACGACTAATTACAAATAATAAAATACGGCATGCACACAATAATACAGCAATAATAAAATATTATTATTATTATTATTATTATTATTATTAATAATGATAATAATAATCTCATACACATCTTATTACCTGTAATGGAGTTTTCTAGGATGTGAAGGCAGCTGTAGTGTACAGTACTGTACTGTATACGCCACTATATGTGCCGTACAAGTATATCACATATAAACAAGAATATCACATAAATTACAGAACTGGCTTGAGAATATTACTGTAACTGGGTTTGTTTACATACCACCAACCATGTTGAAAGAAGGTCACGACGGCATTGTTTTACGTCCACTTACGTCCGATTCAGGATGCCATCCGATTTGATAAATCCTGTCTCTATGGGGGCTTGGTCGTTAAGGCAGTAGGTCGTTAATCGGTAGGTTATTAAGTGATGCATACCTGTATTGAACTATACAAGCACTACTGTGTAAATAATTGCTAAATTGTCCTCAAACATTCGCCTTGGGCGGAATAGTGACATAAACACTGAGAGCAGCATCAGTGTGTGTTTGTAAAACCTCCCCCAATACAGGCGTCCTGCTGCCGGGGACTGGGTGCATCCCCTGCTGGGCTGTAATTATTTGTCCACAAAAAGGCCCTGAGGAAACACATTTGGCCATATCCCATCGGGGAGACTGCGTCGCCTTCTTGTAAGCAGTCAGCAGGGCACTCGTGCGGCTGCGGACGGACCGAGCCCACATCGCCGGAGGAAACCTGCGGGGCGTTGAGGAGCATGGTGCGGTGGTGCACTCTGCGGCCCCAGCGCTCAGCCCTCTGGGGCATCGTGCCTTAAGGGAGACACCGCGACGGGATTAACCGGCTAGTCCAGATGGGTAGAAATGCGGAAAATTTCACAAAGACTGAAGTCAAATCCTTCATTGCCGATAATCATGGATTGACATAACTGGTACGCAAGGACGCATTCACCTTTAAAAACAATACGTGCAACAATCGATTGTTTGTAAATGCGCCAATGCATACTTATTATATGTGCATTTGTGCTGCTGTGACAAGAAAATACCTTGCATTTGAACCTGTAAACTGCAAACGAAGTAGAGTTAGCACATAAAGATTAAAATGCATTATATTTTGTTTTCATATCAGCGCAAATCCACATAAAATAAGTACGCATTTATATGATTACCGCAATCGATTGTCACAAGTATCGTTCTTAAAAGTGAATGAGTACTCGTGTACCAGTTATGTCCATCCCTGCCCATAATCCCCATCGATCACCACAGAGACGGTTAAGGCAGTCACCTGACTGACATGACTAATGAGGGGGTGACATGTGCGGAATAGGGCAAAAACACGGATGAAAGACAGGCCCCTGCCCCTGTATTTCAGAAGGCGGTTCTGTTCCTCCAGCCCAAACGGGGCGGGGCAGGGCGGGGCTGCCCCCTCCCCCCACGCAGATGTCGGCCTTCAAGCCCCCTGTTCCTGCTGACTGGTGTGATAATGGAGGACAGAGACGGTCCCAACAATCTATCATCCCGCGCGTCCCGGGAGGGGCCTCGCTCCCCCCGCCGCTGCTGTCACATGTATTTCCCAAAAGAGCTCAGCCTGGCTGCTCCTCCCGGCTTCTCAAGGTCATGTGCACACTGCCATACAGACGGCGTAACCCCCCCCCCCCCCGCCGGGGGGGGGGGGGGGGGGGGGGGGGGGGGGGGGGGGGTTGTTATTCTCCTTTTTACTTATTTATGAATCCAACAATACGACAGGCAGTGGTTTGCTGTCTTAAAAAGTAATTAACAATTTTTATAAAGAAGCATGGCTTCTGGATTTTAGATGTTAGCATGAGTAAGATACTGCTTGGTTACACCAGCATTGGTTTAACCGTATGATCGATTGTCTCCTTTTAGTCAGGTTATGAAAATGCACCGAGATCCGCAGAGTTCGATGTTCGCTTTGTACGTTGGTGCACAGGGGCTTTAAACTGGTCATGATTTTTGGGTGGGGATATGGTTCGCAGGGACATTAACCAGAATTTTTTTTCAGGAATTTTCTTTTCTCTTCAATGCACTGCTGAGCCTGCAGCTGCCAGATTTCCGTCCGGTTAAATGAGGAACGCTGAAATTCAAGCCCATTCTGTGTATCTCAAAGGAAGTGTCAGACTGTAACCGTGAGATAAAGAGCATTTAAGTGCATTGAAGTGATCCCTAAGGTGGAGACCTGATATCGGCAGCAGCCTTTATGTTACAGTATCCCATTCAGATTGGCCCTTCCAAACAAAAGGGTAACCCTACCCCCCCAACTCAAAAAGACAGGGAGGGAAACACACACACACACACACACACAACAATCGGCCCAATCTTAAAAGGCTGAAATGGAATATACACGGTAAGGGGATACGGGGATGAGGGAGATCCACTTTGGGCGAGGGTGGGCTGAGCGGTGACCCTCTCAGAGGACCCGATCCTCAGACACAGCCGAGTTGGATGACAGGAGAAACACAAACACAAAACCAGCTACGGCGTCGATTCATAAACACGGTGCCACAGGTCCTCTGGAGACTCTCAAAGCTGTTTACGAGGTTAAACCAATTATGTTTACCAGATGTAATGATAATTACCATATATGATTTTAATTCATATTTTTACTGTCATGTATACTTGTGTGTCTGTGAATGGAACCATACAGACCAGTGCTCCTCAAATCTGGACCTCGATTGCAAATCCAGGCCTTGTTTTCAGTTCTCCCAAGTACACAGTTTAGATAGATAGATAGATAGATAGATAGATAGATAGACAGACAGACAGAACTCAGTGCTGTACACAAAATAACCTTCAGTTGTGGGAAGCTTTTATATTTCACTCAGCCAGAGATGCCTGATTTCCTTTCATAAGTCTGAAATCGGACACGTTTCTCACAAAAGAGCAAAGGGAAGCAGGCTGGCGGTTTAAGAGTGCCCCCCCCCACCCCATCTGGCTCACACGCTCCATAGCAGAGTGAGCACTTGGACTGCAGGAAGCACACATCCTGGGAAAAGTGACAAAGTGAAAATGCACTAATTAAGGCCTCCGACAGAGATGGGCCGCATTGCTCAAACGCCAAAGCTGCTCGCTCCGTGTGCCGATGCAAGCTGCAGGAATCCCTGGCAAGCGGAGGAACGTGGAGCCGAAATAAATGGAGAATTTCTGGCTCTGCCATTTGCCTTGTCCCCCGAACCCCCCGCAACAACGAGGAAGCAGCCACCTCACAAACACCTCAGACATTTCTCTCCACGAGCGTCACGAAATGCACCCTCCGCAGTGGAAACTCAGCCATGTCCTGAGACACTGAGTTTATTCCAAGTATTCCTGAGAAGCCTACAGATGAGCCAGCCAATACTTTGTGCTTAAACTTTTGAACCACTCAAAAAATAAAATATATGTAAATAAAAAAAACTGTTTCCAGTCATAAACAGTTTCCAGCTTCCTGGAACACTCTTTGAGACAGTAAGGAAAATATTTTACACAATGTTAATGTTTTCCAGGCTGTGTAGATGCTGTATTAATCATTCTGGCATCTTATCGTGATTTTAGCAGCCTTACATTTTCCCACAAAGACAAAAATGTTGCAAGAGTGCTACTGACAGTGTTCTTCTGACAGTGTACTTCTGACAGTGCTACTGAGAGTGTTGTTTTGAGCCACTACTCCTCAGCTCCCTTCTGTTTTGCTTTTATTATGTTGTCCAAGCATCAGTCTGAATTTTAAATGCTTCTGCAGCGGCGCGCCTCCAAACGGCTTATCTTTTGTCTGGCTAGTACCGCCCTCCCCCTGCATGGCCCCCAGCCGCTCTTTGGTTTGTACACAAAGCAGGGCGCACGTTGTCCTCTGCCAGGTGGGTAGCATGCCAGGGCTTGACCCATTAACAGCGCCCCCCACCCACCACCAAAGCTGGTACTTCATCGAGGGACACTTTGAAAGGACAGAAATGCAACTGGCACGAGGGGGACCGATTTGCAAGCGGGCAAATGGGGGGGAGGGGGGCGAGCAGCTCTCAATAAGACCACGGTGCAGCAGATTAGCCTAACATAGCGCTGTGAGCCATTTACAAACATGACGGTATTAACATACCAAAAGTATTCTGCGCATGACTTTGGAAAGCAATAATGATCATGTGTGTTATTACTATCAAGTGCATCTCATTCTGAAATATGAGCCATAGCTATCGGAGTTAAAGCGAGGCTGTCTGAATTTCGCAGGACTTCCGGAACAAAGACCCGTCCGGAGGCTCGGCCGCTGGCGACAGGCGGCACGCGGGCAGGGAGACGCTAGTTTGGGAGTGATTTATTGACGTCACTGACGGGGTCGCCATCTGGAGACGCTCCCCCCAAATCCCCAGCAGCCCCCCGATTTTTCCTCGGCAACCCAACAGATCGAGCGCGCGTCCACCCGGGCAGGCACATTACAGCCCTGAGTAACTGCACACCGGAGAACGAGGCCAATTAACTGACGAGTAATTAAGGATATTGACTGAGGAAAGGAGACGTGGGCTCAGGCGGCCCGGATCGATGGCGTGTTCGTGCGGTGGGGAGGGGTGCATCCCTCACGCCCCGCATTTAAAAAGAGTGATTATTCACACCTGCACCTGGTTCCTCGTAAAAAAGGGTCTCGCTCCTTCAGCAAAAATGGTATAAAAAGATGTTAATGAAGATGAGCGCAGCATGGGGGCCCTTTCAGGAGCAAACAGGCTCCACGTCACTCCATGGAAAAGGGCGTCTGCAAGTCAGGATGCTAATTTATGTGGCATTTACACCACGGCCCCTAACGGGATGCATCGAATGCAGGGCCACGGCTTGAGCGAACGCCTGCGGGGCCCCTGCATTTCGGATCTCGGCAGTGGTTGCGAGGCGCCCTTTAACGTGGACGGGACAGGGCCGTGAGACATACTCCCAGATGACAACTCCACCCTCAAAACTTGTGTAGAATCTCAATATCCATACATCATTCAAATAGGATACTGCCACATGCTAGTAACAGTTATTACCAGTCTTAGTGTGGTGCTTTCCCAAGCACTCCGTTCATTGCACTTGTGTGTTTGTTACTGTCAGTGTAGTTTGTGGTGTTGCAAGGGACAAATCCATCAGTCACGGTGGAGAGGAGGCCTTGATTATGGTAAAACAGGCCTCAGTCATGGTGAAGGGGGCCTTGGTTACGGCTGAGGAGGCCTCAGTTTTGGCAGAGGGGACCCTGGTTATGGCGGGGCTTGACTGCATTGGAGGAGACTTTTGTTACAGCGGGTTTCGATTATGGCTGAGGAGGAATTGATTAGAGCAGTATGGGCCACGGTTATGGCTGAAGAGACCTCAGTTTTGGCAGAGGGAACCCTGGTTACGGTGGGGTTCGATTGCAGCAGAGGGGGCCCCAGTTACAGCGCCCCATTGGGCTGTTGTCTATTGGCTTTAACGCCCACCCTGTGCGTCAGTAATGGCGGCGTGATCCGGCGAGCAGTTTCCTGTGGCTTTTCAGCGAGCGCTCGTTCCCCCAGGAAGCCCTGGTGATAATAAATCCTCTTTAAAGCCCTTTTAGTTTTCCTGCGCGTTTGAAATGCTAATCTGTCTGGAACAAAGTTCCCGTCGCTGTTTCATTGGCTTTCCCCACCTCTCCATGTCACGTTGAGAGTCCCGCGTCTCAGGAAGGCTACTGACCCGAGAAATTTAAATCCCCACTTCACAAAAACACAGAAACAAACGGCAACCATGAATGTATTTGAAAATCCTTTTTTGTCAAGCCTTTAGTTACAGAGCACAGAAAACATTTGATAAAAAAAGGTTTGTGATTCTTAATACCAGACTGCTTTTTGCCTCAAGTTTGACAAATACCAATGGCATTAAAAGACAAATAACATGAAAGGACCTGCATTATTGTCAATAGAAGCTAAAAAGATTAGTGGGAAATGGGGGTGCATAATGGGCAGTAATGCAATAAAGGCTAATGTCACCAAAGACTGTAAATCCATCCCAGCCTTAAAAGAGGAGTGGGGAAAGGCCCCCTCATTTCACCGAAACCCTTCACGCACGAGAGAGCCGTACTGGTAATTACAGTAATCAGTCAGACAAAGCAGATTACTCATCAGCCCAGGGTGAGGGCATTTCTCTAACCGGGGTCGACAGCCGCCTTTCCCTTGGCCTGCCGAGGTTTGGGCAGTTAATGTACAGGCGTGAGGAGGTGACAAGCCCTCGAACCCTTGTTCCTTTTCACCGGGGTACAGCGGGGCACTGATATCTTTCAGCGCAGGTGCCGTACTCACCATGCTATGGTCATCTTTGTTGCTTTTTTTATTTGTTTTTCCTATCAGAATTGACTTTCCCTGTTCCACTAATTCTTCACCTCCACAACTCTCTGTATCTTTGACCAAACCGAGTGCATTTTTGGGTAAACAACTGACCAGCTCGACTGGACCTTCACCAGCATCTAATCACCACTTAACTATCAACAAAAGAACGGCTTTCCGTTGAATCTCACACGATCAGAAAGCACTAAGGATCTGGACTCTTATGTGTTAAATCTCAAACAAGGCCACAGGGCTGCCCTACTGCAGAACAGCCCGCTCTACAGGGGGCGCCCCTATTTCACAAACCTGCGCCGAGAGTCGGCACGCTGAAGGCTGTGAAGCTAAGCTAACTCGGCTTCAGCGCCGACAGCTTGGCCGGCTGGCGGGGAGCTGGAGGAATCGGATATTAACCAAGCAGAGGGACTGCTAAACGATAGGGCCAGGGGGTCTAGGCTGCCCCGTGTGTCATGCGACCTGTTCTGGCTGGGAGGAAACTCAAGGACAGCCAGAGTGAGGATGGCTGAGAACACTGCTGACAGCATGGGAAGAGTCTTTAAGGACTATTATTTTGACTGTTTTTTGGCAGAGACTTTTCTGCTTAAATTTACAGTGACCTGGCACTGTTTAACTTTAGAAAAAATTAAGAGATGACTCCATATTTTTTATGAATCTGCATTAATAAATCCTGGTTTAATCCTGGTTCTGCTAGCAGAAGGCTACACTGAGTGGCTGGTTGCTTCCAGGCTCAAAGTTTCTAAGACAGCAGTACACAAGAATAAAGTGAAGCAGGAGACACTGGAAATGACCAAAAACTAGCCAGGTAAAGGGCAGAAGCGACTTTCTAATGCCAGAGAGGACAACCAACTTATGTAGGGCTGGGACGATTATTCGACGTAATCGACGATGTCGGTTATAAAAAGCGTTGACGTAGAATTTTAGTGTCATAGTTGTGTAAAACTAAGTGACTGCATTGCCCTAAGTGATAAGCTAAACGTAATGTAAGGGAAAGTACTTTATCCCCTTGGGAGCACGTTAACGCTGTCCTTTTAAGAATCGCGCAGTAAAACAATCTGCTAATAACTGAACTTTACTGTCCACCTGATGATCTCTTTGCCACTCGAGAGCTACAATATTTTATTTATTAGACCTGCGGCATTGTTTTCATTTACAATAAAAAGTTATTCCACTAATAAGCTGGCTAAGCTGTTTCACTGCTGGCACCGTTAAAACTATATCAGTTATAGACTGAATTCCGGTATAGTTTTGTCTAATATCGCCAGTGCCAGCATTGCCGCACTATTTGTAAGGCATGCACTGGCCAATCATGTAGCACTCCTCTCATAAATATTAATGAGACATCTCCTTCCAACCTGCAAAAAGGCAATTTGCCGCACCCCCCGCGCATGAGACAACATGGCTGCGTCTACCAGCAGAGCTCCAGAGCCTCTGGAGAAACACGGGGCAGAACAGGCTCGCACACGGTCTTCCAGAGTTTGGGAATACCTCAGTCATGACACCTTTACTGCACCTCTACTGTAGCTGACGTTAATGACGCTGTTTCAGCCATTTTACATTTTCTGTTTACTTATTCTGTCAGTCAGAGTGAGACAAATGATCATTTATGACGACTCTTACACACTGTAGCCTTAAATCGTTCCATGCTCATTGAAGTAAGCTTAACTATAAGCTACCTTTGTTAGTGTTTGTTAAAAACATGTTTCTCTAGTTATGAAATCATTCCATGTTTTAGCATCTATTTCAACATTAAAGTCAAATTGGTGTACTGAAATAATTAAGTAAAAACTATTGCAGTGATTATTAACTTCAGTCTAACATAGAAATCCTATTGAATCTCTTAAGATTAGCCTTTTTTGTTAATAATGCTCTAATGTTTAAGAAATATTTTAATAAATCAAAATGTTAATGAGAATTTCAGATTTGTGCGTGGGGGGGGGATGAATAGTTGTATTAAATGACTAACTTGAAAATAATTGCTTATCAATAAATTTATCATCAGATCATTTCGGCGATGCCTAGCTTTCCCGACCAGAGGAATATATGACGAAGAGAGCTGCTTTGGTGGGTGACGTCGAGGGGCCCTTCCCAGTCCTACCACTCACCGGCCTGGTTGGTGGTGACGTTGAGGGTGACGAACCGCCGGACCGGGGCCACCAGGTAGGACACGCCGTTGACAGCCTCCACCTCGAAGGTGTAGTTGGTGTGAGCGAGCAGGTCAGTCACCATGACGGAGCAGTTCCGCAGGCCTGTCCGGCCCGGCAGATAGCGCACATGGCCGCCACATTCCTCGGAGCGCCACGGGTCCGAGCCCACCTTCCGGCATACCACGCTGTAGCTGATATCACGCCGGCCACCCGTCTCCGCGGGGGGGGCCCACTCCAGGAGGACGCTGGTCTCGTTCACATTGGAGATGGCATTACGGGGGGCAGATGGGGGCTCTGTGGAAAGGGGGGGTGCGAGAATGTGGCCGACGTCCGTAAGACACATCAGGCGCGCCGATTGGTCACATGCAGCTCATGTGACTTTCCTCTTTACTGCAAGGTTCACATTAAAAGCAACACATTAAAAATAATGGTCAGAGCAGATGTGCCATATTTTCCCAGGAGGAAACGAAATCTCGCCATTAAATCTAGAACGTTCTGCCTGTGTGTTTCGTAGAGGAATGGAGGGCGCGCTCACTGGTGCAGGCCATGTTGTCCGGGTCCGAGCCTCCACGGTAGTAGCCCGGCTCACACTGGCAGGATGTGCAGCCCTCCGCCCTGGTGAAGCTGTGGGGGGGGCACTTGTTGCAGCTGGGGCTCTGGGCAGAGGCTTTGAAAAAGCCAGGTCTGCAGGCTGTGAGGAGGAGAGGTACAGACAGACGACATGAGGTGAGGGGTGGGGGGTGCTGAGCTGGACGTGTCCCTCAGGGGGGGGGGGCATGAGCACCCCCGCTCAGCAGAGCTGAAGCCTGTAAATACCTGTACAGCTCAGCGGCCCGAACGCTTGCTGCACGTCACAAGGTTTTATATACTCACTGTGGATTATATCACCATGAGAAACTGTGCCCACCATTGTCTTTGTGACGGGATGACATAATGCTGAAGTAAATGAATAATAAAAAATAATGTTAGGTCAGCGAGAAGTGAAAATGTTAAATGGAGCGTGTTATGTGGAGGAAATGGAGAAAACACCCGCACCCACACACACGGACACATTTGTTTTGATATCTTTGTGGGGATCATCCATTCATTTCTATGAGCAAAGCCCTAATCCCAGCTAAGAGAACCTTAAGCTTAAAAAGGTCATACTCAGGGAGTGGGAGGTATTTGTCCTCAGTTTCACTTTTATCAGTCAGCACTTTTCTGACTGACGCCAGGGAGCGAACGCGAGCGAGCCGGCTGTCGGGACATTTACAGGCTCTGATTTGCATGATTATCAAACACTATCAGTGCTGCCGTCTTAAATGGCTTGTTTTTGCGCTCGGCCGGGTCCCGCTTTCTGGCAGCACAGCGATCGCAGGCCGGATCATTTTCTACATGGCAGGCGATTCTCTCTCCCCCCGTGTCCTCTGGTGCCGGGAGGGTATTTAAATATAAAATAATCGGGTATTAAGCATCAATCACAGGCTGCCAGCACACACACGCATTTCGGGAGCTAATTTCATCGCCAGCGCCAGGTGCTCCGGCATTCCTGACAGGCCAAAATAAATCTGGATCATTTATCGCAGTAAAAGAAGATGGATGAGCAGCACGGTCCGCGCCAGGAGGCGCAGAGGAGCGCGGCACTAGGAGTGCTGGGCCGGGCCACTAGGGGACTCCCTACAGTGAAGGAGGCAGGACTGGCACCAAGAGCAGAACACACATCACATTTAAACACATATATTTGCACGAGTGCTACTATAATGTGTTAAGAGTGAGCACTCACATGGGTAAACGTGGCCGTTCTGGGGACACAGACGGCGGAGACACTGAGGGCCCGCCACTGTGAGAGTGTTTGCGGTAACGTGTGTGCCCAGCGGGTCGTGAAGCTGCATGTCCGTGTCCCTCAGCACCTTGAACCAGATGCTCTCATGCTGGGCCGTCATGTCGGACAGGCTTCGGCCCTGCTTAGTTAAACCCGAAACGCCCGCCGGCAAACACTCAGCTGCATTTGCAGTGGTTTTGGACACCCTTGTCTGGAGGGGCTGTTGAACTGCTCAGAGAGGCAGTCGGTACACTAACTTCGACGAAGAAGGTGAGGGAACGACAGGGTGACCACCCCACCCCCAAGAGGTCAGGGTCACCATGAAATTTTCCCAGGGGCTCTATTTTGCTACCACCCCCCCCCCTCCCAAACCACTGAATGAGCCTAATCCCCTACATAATATAGTGACCATCACAGGATGCAAGGTAGGAGATGGACATTTAAATGGAATAGGGCAGGTCAGGTCAGGTTGAGGAGCATGCACTGGTACAGAACATTACCGCACCCACAAACACGATGAAACACCTTGGGGTCATGGTTGGCAACCCCCCCAGGCTGACACGCGGTCCAGTCCCATCCTCTGGAAATGTCCGTCTATCCGCCACAGCCAGGTGTTATGTGGGCGTCCCCTTGGTTCAGCTGCTCAGGTCCTCAAGCCGGGTCACCCTCAGGGAAACCCACCACAAGGCCGACACAAAGTCAAACCAGCCGTACCCAAGGATCCTCCGAAGAGACACAGTACCGAAGGAGTCCAGTCTTCTCTCCGCAGACAGACACACTGATGATGGTTGTGCCCAAGAGGTCATTAAAGGCCTGGACCTTGGATTTTTTTATCCAGGACCCCGATAAGATCACAGCAACATCGGTGAATCTTTCTTCACCAACAGATGCCCCACAGCTGCTGGACCCCACAACCCTGCCCAACACCCAGCCCATACAAGCATTGAACAGGGTATGAGCAAGAACACACCCCTGGCGAACCCCAGAATCAACTGGGAAGAATGCAGAGGTTCTGCCTCCACTCTGCACAGCACTCACAGTACCAGTGTGAAGTCCAGCATCCTCAGGGGGATCCTGCAAAGTCTCAGGATGTCCCACAGGGCAGCTCAATCATCTGAGCTGAACGCTTTACAAAAATGAACAAATGCTGCAAAGGAACTTTGCCAATGTTCACTTTTGCACTTGAAGAGAGTGCCAGGATGCGGTCGATGGCAGACTTCTTAGGCGTAAAACCAGACTGGTCTGGTTGCGGGTAGATGAGCTGGTCGCTGGTAGTGATCATGGGTCCTGTTGAGGATGATCCTAGCAAGGATCTTAGGCAACAGGAAGTGATTAAAAAAAACAGGAAATGAACAGGTCTTACCACTCATTTATGTAGACTCTACCCGTCAGCTCTAAAATGCGCATTTGTACATCAGCCCTATGTTGGTGCACTATTAAATGTAACATTTACATTATTGCTATGGGTGAAACTTTGTGGGCTGATCGATCAGCACAAAATAAAAGCAACTCTTGTAGCATCGTGCTGTAAAGTCGATACTTCATGGTGTTCTACCCTAATTGGCAGAGCTGGTGAAAGGCGTGTGTTTTACTGCAGGGAACATTCCAGACTTTAGTCCTACCTGACATGCTGGGCAGTCTTGGGGCAAGCTAGTGGCTCAGTAAAGGGGGGTGGAGTGTGCTCCTTTCCAGACGCCTGGCGGGTACCTGTTGGTGTGTTGACCTCTGACTCCCACATGTACAATGCTTAAAAAAAGCCCCGCTTTTCCCACCCCCAGCCAGCCACCCCCCTACCCCCCTGCGCTTGAGTCACACCCCAAGGCCTCGGCTGGCATTTTAACTCCATGGCAAAAATCAATAGGGTTCAAAACAATGACCCCCCCCCCCGATCCACTCTCCCAAAACAGTTAGCAGGAGATGGCTAAGAAAAACCCACTTTCATCTTGTGCTGACTGGCTGATCCATAAAAGATCTTTCTTTGCAATTCATTTAGGGATGCAGCTTTATTTCAGACGCCCCAAAGGATCGCCACCACTGAATTTACTGATGTTTTGTGATAAACACCTTTAGCTGACCTGCATGGATCAGTATGTAAGAACCTCTGCTGTAATGCAAATTAAGATCCTCATTCCTAGACTTGCTCGGGCCGCTGTGCAGTTTGTCCCTTCCGTGCTTCCGTCAGTGCCACGGTTCCGCCAGGGCTGGCCGTCTGTTAATGGCCTGTCAGGAGCGCCGCTTCGTAGAAGGAATCCACTTCAAATCACCGGGCGCTCACAGCGACCTTGCAATTACCATTAGCCTCTCTCCTGCTGCGCCAGCTGACAAACGGCCCTTCAAATGGGCCCCACACAGCCCGTCGTTAATGGAAACACGCTTTACTTCTGATCAGCGGCCAAAGGTGGCCGCCATGGGGCCCGCTGTCGCAACGTGGGGGTTTTCATCAGCGGCCTCTCGCAGGAGGACACGGCGCAGTCTCGGCACGGGGATGCGGGAAGTGACTCTAACCTTTGTTCCTCTCCACACAGGTAGCATGGATTCACCATGGAAACTCAGAAGCTTCTGGAACCCCACTAAATCTTTCTAGCTGCAGTTTATTTAATTCCATATTTTTAGCCATCCTGCAGTGGTACAGTGTGTGGTACTACATTCCCCACATTATTTTATATTATATAGCCTGTCATTTGATCTCTTCTCTGATTGGCCAAGCTCACACAATGACCCTCCCCCTGCCAGCTTTCAATGCTTCTCTGATTGGTTATTTGTCTCAAGCCCATTCCAAACAGGGAGGTTCACTGATGACAGACACATAGCCTGGCTTATCCAACACCATCCATTCTACTTTACCTTTATAATGTCAGGTTTATTTCACATTACAATTTATTTCATCATCTCTTCTTTCAGCAATGTTTTGCTTGGTGAAAGGGACTGTAGGACCAGGAGTCCCCGAAATAAAAACGCTCCACCCCTGGGTCATGAACCACTCACCTCCGCAGACAGTCATTTTAATGCACTGCACCTCCAGATTACTGCCATCTGCCACCCTAACCCAGCTGGAGGGGGGGGGGGGCGGGGGCGGGGTGCGTGTTCCCACCCTTCAATCAACAGAACGTTTGCCCCCACCCCCCCTAGGTAGCGTGGTGCTGAAATGGGCTGCCCCCACGGATGACCTCAAATTAAATAACAGCCCATGTGAGAGTGCAGTAATGTGGTTTGCAGGTAACCAATTGGATTACATGGCGATGGGATGGGACTCCACCCACTGCTGTTTAAAGAGCAATGAATCCCTGGTATTTAATCATCACCCCCTGTTCATAGCCACAGTTCATATTCCGGTTGTCAGACGTATCCCCAGGGTCCTAAAGCACCCCACTCCCCTTACCGCAAAAGAACATTTAGTCATTACATGGCACAAGGTGGCTGCTGCAGAGCCCTGATGATGCACCTTTAAGATGGGATGGGGGGCGGGGGTGCTCGGCCCAAGATCGTTTACACACTTACTGTACGAACCCCAACCCTGAGAACCCAGACTACTATGGATCCCAACCGCAAGATCCGTCTCTTTGTTTATTTTTGGTTTCCTGAGAGCAGCAGTAATAAAAGAGTCGGCCCGCTCCAACCATCACAGGATCCCTGCTTCCCAGACACCAGTGAGGAACCTTCTAGAAGGCAGTAAGCAATTCACCTTGACAGACCCTTGTCCCCCGTCATGGGGCATTAACCAGGAGAGGCATGTGTGCGGGATCCCAGCCCGGCAGGTGTCCACGTCTCGCTCCCCTGCGATTGGGGCATTAAGTACCGCTCACCGCCAAGCCAGGCCGGGCCGGGCCGGGCCGATCCGCGACACGTGTCTGTCCCCACTGGGCGCCGTGAGTCACACGCGTCACACAAAT